AGGATCAAGATACTGTGATTTCACCCAAAACGGAAAGCTTTTACAGTACCATACATCTTCCAAAGAATCAGTTGCTATCCATCTCCTCTATGCTAGCCGCTACCACTTTTTTATATTCTTCTCTCTGTCTCGTGAATCAAAAACATTGCTGCACTATTCCCCATTTTTCACTTTTTAGCACACACACACACACACACCAAGGGTTAAAACCCTTTAACCATTTCATGGGCTTTGGCCCACAAAGCTAATCCTTTTTTTTTCTCTTTTAATAATAATAATAAGATTAAGTGGGTTCACATATTTTGGTGACCCACACAGCAAAGTGTTGTCGTCGCTAATAATCTTTCCCTTTCTTTTATTGCTTCCATGGTTGCATTTGATTTTTGTATGAACATTTGGGAATGGAGCTTGACGCGAAAGAGAAATTGAAGTCGATGAATAGAGAGAGAAGGAGGCCATGCGAGATGAGAGAAAGAATGAAGTGGATGTGTTGAGTTTTTGCTCCCCTTCTTTACATGTTATCGTGTTGGGTCGAGTGGGCCAGGAGGGCACCGACCCAACTTTTTTTTTCTTTTTTTTTTAATTATATTTTATAGTGTTTTTTGTCTAGCTAGTCCATTGACCACTAAGCCCATGTTGTTGTTGTTGTTTTTTCCACCAAAAAATACCATTCTAAATTCTACCTTGTTTTTAAAAAAATAAAAAAGTTTAGTTAGTGTTAATTTTGGAATTTAAGCTTAATTAGTTTTAATTTAAGATTTATTTAGTTTCTGGTTTATTTAGTTTTAATCTATATTTTTGAACTTAGTTTATTTAACTTCTATTTAGATATAAGTTACTAAATTCACTTAGTTTTTAATTAAAATTTAATTTAATTAGTTTTCTATTCAGTTTTATTCTAATTTGTTTAAATTAGATTTTATTCAATTTTGGAAAATTATCCTAGATGATCCTGACAATCTTTATTTTTGGTTAACTCTGGATGTACATAATATTGATGTCGTATAATCCATTTGTGACCCAATTTTATTGAATTTTGATATCTGGTTTCGATTAAGTGACAATGTTTGTTTGTGACACCTATTCATTGTGATTGTGATTACATTTGACTTGATTTTTGTCTTATGTTGTTATTTCTTTATTCTTATGCTTTTAACTCTACTGATTGCATACAATTCCAAAGGAAAGGATCCTCCTCGTTGACTGCCATGTCACACGTAGCATAGCTCTGGGTCCTTACCTTTCATCCTAACCTTAGGATTATAGTCACCGTACTCTACATAATTCTCCTTCCATGGACACTTGCTTATCATTACCCCTCATCCTAGCCTTAGGATTGAAGTCGCCGCATTCTATGTAAGTTCCTGCCATGGACACTTACTTATCTTTCCCTTTTAATATAGTCTTAAGTTTGGAGTCGTCGCACTCCATGTAAGTATCTTGCCAAAGTTACCTGCTCTTCCCCCTGGAACCTTGACGACAGTCAAAAGTTCCTTATCCTCGTTAAGGAGAACTACGAATGCTATGATTCCATTTTCGTCAGGATACGTAGGCACGAGATGTGATGTATTGGCGAACATACTTAGGAATAACACCTTAGATCTCCCTTTACCTTTCACTCTTTAGCAGACAAATAACAACAACACAATAAAACAAGAGGTTCCTGTAGAGTACAACAGATGCTTAGGATACTAACACCTTCCCTAGGTATAACCAACCCCCGAATCTTAGATCTCATGCATTGTTTTTTACAGTGCAATTAGGTTTTTTTTCTTCCGATCTTTACCCTTTCCTTTGGATAAATCAAAGCTCGGTGGTGAATATTTAAAGATTTGTGATTCAAGTTAAATCAATAGCTTGATATTCGATTCTCACCGCAACAACTTCAAAATCTTCAGCTAGAAACTTCAGAAGCTTACCATTCTTTAGAAGTTTGATGATCAGAGTCACATTCAGAAGCAGAAACCCAGAGAACATTGTAGCAACAACACTACGTCTTCTCAGAAGCTTCTTAGAAGTGAATCAACATATAAGCGAATTTCGGAACACAAAGTTCATAAACTAATGACATTACACGTCATATTCTCAAAATCAAAACGGCCTGTTAAAGCTACACAACAACAAACCGTTAGGATATCAAAATTGTTCTCACACAAATACTATCTTGTTATCATCAAAACTCAAAGATATAGACGCATAACTAAATCTTGTTCTAACATTGTTCTCATAGATGCTCGAATGTTAACAACAACAAACAAATAAAAATTATATCAAAGCATAATCTTCAAGAGTTATGCATCTTCCAAGATACTAACACAAGTTTAAAAACACATTAAAGACAAAACAATTATGTTCACTAGTCGACTCCATCATAAGACAACCTATAATATAACATACTCATTTGACGCTGGTTCCAACAAAGGAATCCTAATTAGTCATCTATAACCTCTCAAAGGGAACTTCGCCAACCTAAGATGAGCTTTTGGCTGACCCAAACTCAATACTGCATGCTCAAGGACATGATGGGCTTGTTTCTTTTAGCTTTAAGAAAATAATCATTTTTCTTTGTATTTTCAAAAACAACTTTTATAAAAATATTTTTTAAAATATTAAAAGTTTTTGTAAAATTGTTTTTATAAATTAAAATATTAATTTTGACATTTATTAACATAAATATACGTTACGGAAGACTAAAACATAGCCAAAATCACAATATTTTTTAAAAAGATATATTTGATTTTTTTGAAATTTTAATTAAAAAAATTCTAATAAAAATACATTTAAATAAAAAGAATTTAAATCAATACAATTTTTTAAAATTCTTTATAACTAAAAAAATGTAACATTACAAAAATTATTTTTTTTAAAATTGAAATAAATAAACTCATAAACATCATATCTCTACCTCTTAAGATATGCACTAGTCAAATTTCTAAACCTCAATAAAAATGTCATCATTAATTGATTCACCATTGTTATTATGAGCCATAATTTAAATAGAAAATAAAATATGGATAATATTTAGTTACTCAAAGTTGGGGTGACATGTCTGCAAAAGTTCGGAAAAAAAAAAAGAAAGGAAAAAGGCGGATATATTTAAAGGTGCAGATTTAGAGTTAAAATTTTGTTTGTTCTATATAAAATAAAAGTGAGAGTGGGGCGGGATGAGACGAAAAAAGACGAATATATTTAAAGGTGTGGACTTACAATTTTGTTTGTCCCACATAAAAGTGAGGGCGAAGTGAAGTGAAAAAAGGCAGATATAATTAAAGGTGTGGACTTAAAATTTTGTTTGTCCCACCTAAAAGTGAGGGCAGAGCAGGACGAACTCGCGAACATTTAATTTTTTGAATCTAAAAATAATAAAGTTGTAGTAAAAATTTGGATTCACAAAAACCTAAAAAAATAACTAGAACGTAACGAACGCATCAAATGATACGAGCCTAAAGTATTGATCACATCGAAAAAAGTACAAATAAAACCAATGTTTTTAAAATCGGACCGAACCGGCCAATTCAACCGGTTGGACGGAGAACTAGAGATGAATTCAGTTGTATCAACCTTTCAAAACTGCTAGAGGATTAAAATCGGAGTAAAATCGAGAAAATTGGATTGAACCGTCCAAAACTATTCGAACCAAAGAACCGCAACTGACTTTGTAAAACCGTCCGGTTCAAAAAAATGCATCAAATTGATCATTTTACAAAAAAATTAAAAAATTTTAATATGTTAATATCAAAATTTAACATACATTTTCCAATCATAAAAATAATTCCGTATGTTTTTATACAACCATACAAACTTCTTAGTTTTGTCACTTCATCATAGTTTTTCTTTCAACCACACTCCATTATCATCCTATCATCTTTTTCAAACATATGTATTATCGATATTGTGGATTAAATTTGTAATAAATTTTTAAAATATTTATTCTATTAAGTTGTGAACATATGTAACATATCTATAAAATTTAATTTTATATCATTAACTTATTTAATAAACGATTTCATTGTAAATTTAACCGATTTAATCAATTAATCTCGATTCCCTCTCCAGTTCAATTTTTAAAATATTTGATAAAACAGACATATTTGATAAATTGGATCCGTCGTGTGACTTTCAAAGTATACTAAAATACTTAAAGTGATTATCCTCAGTGAGATTAAATTAAAATACTGATAATTTCTCATTCTTACAAGTCATATATCTCAGATCATCCAAGCTATCCATGTCTGTATAGCATGAATCTCTTCTCTGCCCCTTCTGTATCCCTCCAAGCCGCGTTAACTGGACCCCACATATCGTTGAACCCAGCGCAGCAACTATATTCCTTTCCATCCCATGTTCTTTTGTTTCTTTTCTTCTTATTTTTTTCCACTAATATAGAAACCCTTTCAACCCTCATTTCTCTAACTTCCACCATTTTTTTTATTATTTTTTTTATCACTCATTTAGTTCCAAAGATTCCACAAAATCTTCACAACCAGCTGGTTTTTATTTATTTTATCAAATTCTAGCAACTTGCAGGAATTTCAACCTTCATATTTTTTTTTTCTTTCTCCTTGTGGGGTCCTCTTTTTGACAGCCTAATCAACAGCCTGGAAAAGGGTGTTTGCATTGCATTGCAACCACACTAAAAACTTCTACTTTCATCACTTTCTTCATTTCGACATTTTTGTGGCAACCCCTTTTTTCTCATTTTGCTTCCTTCTAAGGTAAGTCTACATACATTTTAATGAACACCCTTTTTGAGCTAATTTATGTTTTTGTTGTTTGTGAGTTTTAATGTTGTCATGTTGGATGAATCATTGTGTTTTATTTGGTTTTTGTGCATTCAATTTGATAGATCCGAGGTTGTTCTTGTTGCAGGTTGTTGTTTTTTTTCCTTCAATTTTGTGACTTTTGGGATTTGAAGTTAAAGGGTATTATTGTAATTGCTTACAATCCGTTTATGGGTTGGTGTTGGTGAAGAATATTCGAGAGAAACTTAACTAACTACAATGGTGATGGTGATGAGGGTGAAACTTGTTTTGGTTCTTGTTACTATTATTGCATTTGTGGAGAATGTGTCATTTGCCTTATACACACCTCATGATAATTACTTAATTGCTTGTGGTTCTTCTAAAAGTATTAGCTTTCAAGATCGCGATTTTGTTCCGGATTCGCAGCATTCTGCGCTAGTGTTAAAAACTGGAAATTCAATTGTTGTTGGTAGTTCGAATTCGAGTGTTGTTCCGTCTCCAATTTACGAATCGGCTCGAGTTTTCACTGATAAAGGTTCTTATAGATTTGAAGTTCAACCAGGTAGGCATTGGATTAGGCTATATTTTTATCCTCTTCCAAACACTAGCCATGATTTGACTTCAGCTTCTGTAACAGTTGTTAGTGATGATTTTGTTCTGTTAAGGAACTTCAGTTTTAGAAACTACAGTGGTTCTTATTTGTTTAGAGAGTATGCTGTCAATGTAACCTCTGATACTTTGACTGTAACATTCATTCCTTCGAATGGTTCGGTTGCTTTTGTGAACGCGATTGAAGTTGTGTCGATGCCGGATGATTTGTTTGTTGATCAGGCATTGGCGCTTAGTCCGTTAGCGCCTTTTAACGGTCTTTCAGAACTTGCTTTCGAAACTGTTTACCGTTTGAATATAGGAGGAACCTTGCTCACTGCTGAAAACGATACGTTGGGAAGGACTTGGGAGAATGATCAGAAGTATCTTCATGTGAACAGTTCGGTCACTAATGTATCGACTAGCCCTTCAAGCATTAGGTATCGACCGGGCGTTACCGCTGAGACGGCGCCCAATTGGGTCTATGCAACTGCTGAAGCAATGGGGGATGCAAATGTAGCCAATTCGAATTTCAACATTACTTGGAGTTTTAATGTGGACCCGGATTTTTCTTATTTTGTTCGGCTGCACTTTTGCGATATTATTAGCAAGGCGATGAACACGTTAGTGTTCAATGTGTTTATAAATACGGATATAGCTATTGGAAGCCTCGATCTATCATCTTTGACTAACGATTTGGCTTTGCCTTACTATAAGGACTTTGTTTCTAATGCTTCATCGGGTAACACTTTGACGGTAAGTGTCGGTCCTGATACAATGGCAGACATTACAAATGCAACTATGAATGGATTGGAGATAATGAAAATTAGCAATTCATGGAAGAGCTTGGATGGACTTTCTTCGGTTGCGAGTCTGCTTCCTAGTTCAAAATCAAACAAGAACAAGATAGGGATAATTGTTGGTTCCGCTGCTGGTGCTGTTGTTGCCTTAGCTTTTGTTGGTTTGTGTTTTTGCTTTTTGGTTAGAAGAAAGTCGAAGTCTACTCAAGAGGGTGGTCATTCATGGCTTCCATTGCCGTTATACGGAAATTCTCAGACCATGACGAAAATGTCAACAACTTCACAGAAGAGTGGAGGAACCGCAAGCTTCATTTCTTCGACGAATCTTGGAAGGTTCTTCACTTTCCAAGAAATCCTAGACGCAACAAACAAATTCGATGAGAAGCTTCTTCTCGGAGTTGGTGGTTTTGGCAGGGTTTATCAAGGAAACCTTGACGATGGTACCAATGTAGCTGTTAAAAGAGGAAATCCTCGATCCGAACAAGGTCTTGCTGAATTCCGAACCGAAATCGAGATGTTATCCAAGCTTCGCCATCGTCATCTTGTGTCTCTAATTGGGTATTGTGATGAGAGGTCAGAAATGATTCTTGTCTATGAATACATGGCTAATGGTCCCCTCAGGAGTCATTTATATGGAACAGACCTGCCACCTCTGTCATGGAAACAAAGACTCGAAATTTGCATCGGTGCAGCAAGAGGCCTTCATTATCTCCACACCGGTGCATCACAAAGTATTATTCACCGAGATGTAAAGACAACAAACATCCTTTTAGATGATAGCTTTGTTGCTAAAGTTGCTGACTTCGGCCTCTCCAAAACCGGTCCTGCACTCGATCAGACTCACGTGAGCACGGCCGTTAAAGGTAGTTTCGGTTATCTTGATCCAGAATACTTTAGAAGGCAACAACTCACAGAGAAATCCGATGTTTATTCATTTGGAGTAGTTTTAATGGAAGTGCTATGCACAAGACCGGCTTTGAACCCTGTCCTTCCTAGAGAACAGGTTAATATAGCCGAGTGGGCAATGAACTGGCAGAAGAAAGGAATGCTTGATCAAATCATGGATCAACAACTTGTCGGGAAGGTCAATCCTGCTTCGCTTAAGAAGTTTGGGGAGACGGCCGAGAAGTGCTTGGCCGAGTATGGAGTGGATAGACCATCAATGGGAGATGTTTTATGGAATCTCGAATACGCTTTGCAGCTACAAGAAACCTCATCAGCACTCAGGGAACCTGAGGATAACAGCACAAACCACATAACCGGGATTCAGTTGACGCCACTTGAGAATTTTGATAACAGTGTGAGTATGATTGATGGAAGCAACTCTGTCACTGACGATGATGGTGAAGACGCTGCTACGAGTGCAGTCTTCTCACAATTGGTAAATCCACGTGGAAGATGAGTTATTTTTCGTGTATCCGTGATTCTTGCCATAGGTCGTTTAGTATAACGGCTTTTCTGGCCTGTGACTAAATTGAAAAGTCCTGCTTGATGAATGAAAGGTTATTTTCTGTTACATTATCACATTTGTTTCTTTTTGTTTTTTTGCCTATAAGCAAGTTACTATATAATATTTGAGCAATTAGCTGACTAGAAATTGTATGTAAGTTACTATAAGGTTCTGCTGTACTTTGTATAAGAGTTCTTCTTTCACTTTACAATAAAAGTTCTTTAGAAAATGAATCAACTATTGAAAAGGTACTGCTTCTGATAATGTAATTTGCTTTTCTCTTTTTTCATACAAGTTTTTCTGCCAACTGTTGGTTGTCTCTCATTTCAGAATACTTAAGCTATAAGCTCTTTTCATAGACTTCTTATTTTATTTTTATATCAATATGCAAAAAATGATTCCAATATAACAAGGTATTTTCATAATTTCAAGTTTCAACAATGATCTTGATCTTATGCATGATATCATAATGTATGAATGGAAGAAGCTATGAAGCTCGGACACAAACACTGGATATGACTCTGACACTAACACATTGATATCGATAATAATTTTAAAAAATGAATAAATTGAAGGTTATCACAAGTGTCAGTGTCGTGTCGGTGTTGGTGTCTGACATTGACAAGAACACGCTTTTTTTAGAGGTCTTTCTCTTGGTACTACAAAGAGAGTGTAATCACAGGATTCAATCATTTATAAGCAAACAAATTAGTACATTTCTTATTCAAAAGGAAATACGGTTACAAAACAAAAACATTTTGGCCACTTAGTACAATCCACAAACAATTTTTCAGAGTTATGACATCAAATCATAATAAGAAAACAATGGAAACCACCAAACTTATCTTCTGCAAACTATACCATTACCACTGCTGGCACCACCAGTGCAATCCATCATACCATATACAATAATCTCCAATCCTTCCTGCTCAGAATCTTTAGCAGAAGAGAATATACAAGCATTACAGTTGGCTGAAACAAGCGAGTCAGTTCTATACTTGTCTTCTCCTCCAACTACTGGCATTGCCACGCCTGGCTTTGCCGGATTTTGAAAATCAGGCTGATAAGTTCTACCAAGAACACCTTCAACTTTAGACGATAAACCATAGAATTTGAACTGTACTTCCAAATGAGGAAAACAATCATCATCAGGAATCTGATAGTTATGGATTCTACTGTCTTCCTTGGTGACAGGCACCACATTGACAAATATTTCAACAACTTCTGGGATTGTAACCATGACACCGTTCTCTTTCGACGTTCTCTCGACTCTAAGTTGATTTTCTTCAGATTGCCATGTAAAAAGGTGACCTTCTGGAATTACAAGCTCCTCTCCGTCATACGAGAGTTTCAAATGGTCAACTTCATCATCCCAAATTGTTGATGGGGTTGGCCTCAACAGAAAAGCTGTGAGAATCAAAGAGAACTCCTAATGCTTGAATCCAAGTATAATCCCTCGGTCTCCCTTTCGGCCTAAGGCCAATAAAAAGAGCGTTGATTTGAAGGTTGACATCAGATACCAAGGTGAAATGTTCATTCCTTCTTCCATGAAAGTAAAAAACAATGCCATCTGCACCAACGAACCGAGGGTCTAAGAATGCAGATCCGTGGCCATTACAATTTGGTTTGCGACCTGTTTACATCCAATCCAATACACATTCAATCCAATGCAGAACCGAGCGTTGATTCGAATAAAGTGCATGGAGAAAACACTAGGCATTTTAGAGGAAACCTTAAAATGTTTGTTGAAGGTGTTTCTAATAATCTGTTTTAAAATCTGTCATTTTTAAGTGGTGTTTTTAGCTTTTTTTTCAACGGGTGATGGTTTTTTAGTTAGAGAAACTTAAAGAAACGACGGGATGGATTCTTAAAGATTTCTAATCATCAAAATTGAAATATCATTTCAGATTATCTAAGAGTTTATAAACACTTCTAAACTCTTTGAAATTGAGTGATTCATATAATGAAAATGTTATTGAAAATATAATTCTTTGTGCCGAAACAGTGTAGTTCGACAAAAATAAGGATTAGTCGAATTAACTTAATGTGTGTCGAGTTGTTTAGATGTCGAAATGTCGAAATAGGTTGTTTAACATAGAATTTCGACTTAGACAAAAAATAGTAATTTTTGAGCTTTTGTAATTTTGGATTTTCTTCTATTATAAGTGTCACGAAATTTGGCTTGATGCCTTTCTCATTGCCTTTCATACTATATATAATAGTGTCGGTAATTACAACTCATAATAACTAATTATAGCTGATAATGACTAATTACAATTCATAATGACTAATTTCCTATTCTATAAATGTAAATTATTCACAATAACTGCAAAGATTATTTCCTAATTAACATCCCCCCTCAAATTGATGCGGCTGGTCAAGGAGCATCAATTTGCTAACAAGAAACTGATGTCTTGGGCGTGGAACAACCTTGGTAAGAATATCTGCAACCTGCAACTGCGTACTGACGTGAGGAAGTGATATTATTCGATCATCGTAGGCGTCACGTATTGAATGACAATCAACTTCGATATGTTTGGTGCGTTCATGAAAAACAGGATTTGCAACAATTTGGATGGCACTTGTATTGTCAGCATAAAGTGAAGTTGACTCTGTTTGGGGAAATCCAAGTTCAGCCAAAAGACCACGAAGCCAAAGTATTTCTGAACACGCAGCAGACATTGCACGATACTCTGATTCAGTAGAAGATTTAGAAACTCTTGCTTGCTTCTTACTTTTCCAAGAGATCAATGAAGAACCAAGAAACATACACCAACCAGTAACAAATCGACGAGTATCAGGACACCCTGCCCAATCAGCATCACTATAAGCGCTCAACTGAAGAGAAGTTCCAACGGAAAAGAATAATCCGCGGTGAGAGGTTCCTTTTAAGTAGCGAATTATACGACGAACTGCAGCCAAGTGAAGATGGCGAGGAGAATGCATGAATTGACTTACTTGTTGAACAGCAAAAGATATGTCAGGGCGAGTAATAGTCAAGTAGTTGAGGCTACCCACAAGTTGTCGATACAATAAGGGATCAGGCAACAGATCCCCATCATCACGATGATATTTAACATTAACCTCAAGAGGAGTATCTACTGGATTAGCCGATTCAAGACCGGCCTTAGAAATCAAATCTGTAGCATACTTGTGTTGATGGAGAAAGATGCCCTTGGATGTAGAATGAACCTCAAGACCAAGAAAATAATGTAGATTACCCAGATCTTTCATATGAAATGAGGTCTGTAGCTGTTGCTTAAGTCGCTGAATGGAAGCATGATCCGAACCAGTAATAACCATATCATCAACATACAAAAGAAGCAGAACAATACCCACAGATGTGCTATGAATAAATAAAGATTAATCATACTGACTCTGAGTAAAGGAGAATCCAAGTATAGTGGCGCGGAATTTCTCGTACCATGCTCGAGGTGCCTGTTTCAAACCATATAAGGAGCGTTTGAGCTTACACACGCCTTTAGATGAAGAGAATAAGCCTTGAGGTGGAGTCATATAAATATCTTCTGTCAGGTCACCATGAAGAAAAGCATTCTTCACATCCATTTGATGAAGAGTCCACCCATTAGAAGCAGCTATAGACATGATTGTGCGGACAGTTGTCATTTTGGCAACCGGTGCAAATGTCTCATCATAATCAATTCCATATTCCTGCTTGTTTTCTAACGCAACCAAACGAGCCTTGTAACGGTTGAGGGACCCATCAGAATTCAGTTTCACAGAATACACCCATTTGCAACCTATAGGTTTTACATTTGGAGGACAAGTGACGATATCCCATGTAAAATTCTCTTGAAGAGCTTGGAGCTCTTCAGTCATTGCTTTTATCCATCGCACATCTTTAACAGCCTGTGAGTAACAAGTAGGAATAGATATGCTAGAGAGTGTGGCAGTCAGAGAAGTATGTGAGGAATCATACCTGTCTGGTGAATATCTATCTGGTGCGCGGGATATTCGACCAGAACGTCGTGGTTCAACCTGTTGTATGTGTTTTCTGACATATACATGACCTGGTTTATAACGTTCTATAGCTTGAGGCATAATAGAAAACTTAGGAAGAGTAACAATATCATTAATGGCAGGAGAACCACAGGGAAACATAAACTGATTATCAAAAAATGTCACATTTCTAGAAATGCGAAAACGATGGTTAGAGACATCATAACACACAAATCCCTTATGAGAGTTACTATATCCCATAAATGCACATTGAACGGATTGTGCTCCAAGCTTATGCCTTTCAAAAGGAGGTAAGTGAACAAAACACACACACCCAAAAGTATGTAAAGCACTATAATCAGGATGAATTTTAAATAGACGGAAGAAAGGAGAATCAAGATCAATAACTGTAGAAGGAATATGATTGATCAAGAAGACAGCCGTGGAAAGAGCCTCCACCCAAAATCGGGATGGTACAGAAGCTTGGAGAAGTAAGGTGCGTGTTACATCAAGCAAATGACGATTCTTACGTTCTGCCGTGCCATTTTGTTGAGGGGTATTGGGACAAGACCGTTGAGACAAGATGCCTTTTTGTTGAAGGTATTCCTGAAACTCATGAGACATGTACTCACCACCAGAGTCAGATCGAAAAATTTTAACACTTGCTTGAAATTGAGTTTCAACATATGTCAAATATTTCTTAAACATAGAAAACACTTCGGATTTAGAACGGAGAAAATATATCCAAGTAAAACGACTATAATCATCAATAAATGTGACAAAATATTTATAGTGAGCATGAGAAACCACAGGAGACATTCCCCATACATCACTATGAATCATCTCAAAACAAGTGGAAGCACGATTAGCACCAGACGGAAAAGGAAGTGTCTTACTTTTAGCCAATTTGCAAACAGAACATGAAACAGAGGCATCAGGAATAACATTTTTATTTCCCAACAAACCACTTTTACATAAATGAGACAAAACAG